CCCTACGGAGCCGTTTTGCCGGCGGGGTTCTGCAGCGAAAACTGCACATTTTGCCAACTTCTCTAGAGCTTCGTTGTGCTCTACCATGTTGTATCATAGCTCGAGGGGCCTTCAAACATGCTTCTCAATGCCCTTAACCACCTCGGAAAAACGGAATGCAAATCCATGATGTCTACATCAAGTTTTAGGGTTTTGAACATGCTCCCACTGTCGAATACCGTCTTACCACCTTAATAGCGACCGCGGGGATTCAACCTAGCCTGAGACCGTCATTTCTTTTACCACAAATCAGATCGAGCGGCGCAAACTTAGGACCTGCGCTGAACCCTAAAACTCGCCTTGACCCGACTTCCGGTTCAAAATTTGAATCAGCCGGCATGGACGCACATGGGTACAGCCCATGAATGACCCCCGTGACCCAGGCCCTGCAAATGAATGCCGATGTCTGGTGCAGCTGAAGACCGAGTGGTAACCGACGGGGACTATGATTGAATGTTTAGGCCGGTCGAACCAGCGCGGTATACTATGGACCGGGCAATTAAACCAGTCGATGTACAGTCTGTGATAGTGCCCGGTGGTCTAGCCGATGGTATAGCTAAATTAGCTCTCAGCCTACAAAGTTGAGCTAGGGCCGAGCCGCCCCTAACACCAAAGTTCCGACCTACGACAGGTGGCGGTCTGTGAATGGATCTTATCCTGCAAACGAATTTTGCTGAAATGCCCCGACCACTTCTCCATCAAGCAACCGGTGTGGAGTTAGGGGCGGGGTTGCAAGCTACTTTAACAACGCTATGAAACCGGTAATTCTTCGACTTAACTCCGTACATGAGTTGGAAGAGTTTTCAGAAGTTTTGCATGTTCGCCAACAAATGGACTCACAGTATTACCATCTTGCACCACAGATTACATGTGTAACGTGACAGGTGCAGGCTGGCAGAGCAAAGCCTCGATCGGCTGCGATGGCCAAGCCAAGGTTGATCTCAGTCAATGTACATAAGCTTGACAATGTTGATTGTGACAAATTCACACAGCTGTACATTTGGTGACAACCGCGTGCCCAAAGATAAAATGCGCCCTATTTGTTGATAGTCCTCAGTTCCCAAGTTCCTGCACCATCTACTAACCGGAGTTCCATACTATGGTAGGGAATCAAACCCGGTCGCTGCACACAAAGAGGGGCAGCGTGAGTCATTAAGCAGTACGTGTGAAATCCAACGATAAGAAAGGCCGTGGCTTCTTCACGCATTTCGGCAGGCACGGAACCGTAAAGATGCTCTCAACACGCGAGCAGGCGAGGCAATGGAGCCATTTAGAGATATTGAGGGATGTATCCTTGTCAACGAAGAGGGATGTATCCTTGTCAACCACCACCCGGTGCCCCGCACAATTGACGGGTGTGCGCGCGCACCTGTGAGATGGTGATGACGGTGATGCCGAGCGTCTGCGCGGTGCGGTACAGGTACTCCTCCACCTCCACGCTCGTCGCGTTGGTGCACTCGTCCAGCACGCCGAACTTAGGCCGGTGGAAAAACAGCCGCGCCTGCCACACAAACCCTCACGTCACCGACTGTGCGAACGCTTTGCTCAGCACAGGCCTGCGTCTCAAGATAACATCACGCGGACTGCTTTATGAAGGGTGTCGCAACCCGGAAATAATGCTTTCTGCAGAGATGGCAAACATCGAGGAGTCGGCCCTCCTGTGCGCGGGGCTATCTCACCATGCCGAGCCGCTGCTGCTCCCCGAGGCTGAGCATGTCCTCCCAATTGGCGGTCGCGTCCCAGCCGCCCTCCCGCTGCAGCAGGTACGCCAGCTTCACGTCCTCCAGCACCGCGTGGAGCCGCTCGTCCAGCGCCGCCACCGGGCTGCCTGCACCCAGCACCCCCGCGCAAGTGATGAGCATCCACTATGAAAGCTGAGAGGAGGACGATGTTATCAAGCCTTGGGAGTGCCTCGAAGACCCGCTGACTTAGCTGCAGACGTCCAGAGTCTAGATCGACTGATGTGCCCAAAAAGTGGCACGAGCAGCGGCAGTACTAAAATATTTTAAGCTGGTACACAGGAAATCAATTTCGAAAGTAGTCGAGAGTCTACTCGGCAAGCGAGCTCTACAGCTGATCCGCATAAACAGTCTTGCAAAGCGCCATGCTCGTCGTGTCTCAAGCCTTGCCACCGGCTGGCAAGACCAGTCCGTCGGGCGCACCTGCGGTGGCCCCGCCGCCGCGCCTCTCCTCGGCCTGCTGCATTTCGGCCGCGGCCTCGTCGGCGGTGAGGGGGTAGATGAGCTGGTCGCGCAGCGTGCCGACGGCGGTGTACGGCTTCTGGGGCACGTAGAAGATGTCCTTGCTCAGCCCCGTCGCCGCGTTCACACCCGGCTTGGAGATGCGCCCCGACACGAGCGGCCACAGGCCGCCCAGCACGCGGAAGATGCTGCTCTTGCCGCTGCCGTTGGGGCCTGGCCAGGGGAGGTGAAGCGATGGCGGATAAGAGAAAGAGACAGGATAGCGACGGAAACGGGAAGCAGGGACTGGAGCCGGAGGGCAAATCGGGGAGCTTGGGAGGGTGGCCGCAGTAGTTGCCAGAGATCAGCATAGAGGCTTGATGAGCCGGGGACTGTGCATCAGCATAAACAAGAGGGTTTGATCATATCTGAGGTCTGAAAGCTGCCACCCGCACACGAATACGATATTCAACACCAAGCAACGCTACCGCACCCAATGCTATCGCCCACCCCGCCAAGGCTCACCCGTGACGAGGACCGCATTGCCGGGGCGTATCCGCAGCGTGAGCTTGCGCGCGAGCATCTTGCGGTTGGGCGTCACGACGTCGACTTGCGTGAAGGCAATCTCGTCCTTTGGGGAGCCGCGCGTGGCGTACAGCATCTCGAGGGCGGGCCCGCGCGACGCCTCGATCAGCTCGAGCGCGCTGGGGGAGGGCGACACGTGCGCGAGCGGCGCCTCCTCGTCGTGCTGCGCCTCCTGCAGCAGCTCCAGCAGCTCCGACACGCGGGTCACCCCGCCCGACAGCTCCAGGAACCGCCTGCACCAAGCACAGCGGGAGAGTCGGCGCTATTTGCCAGGAGTCGTAAAAAGTCGGGAAGCGACAGAAACGAAATGCTCGATGAAAAGACTCAGTTTTGTGCGCTCGCTTGTTCCGCTTACAACGAAGCGGTGAGTAGGGAGGTCCTAAGAAACAACTCGCTTCGTCTGCTGTGACGGTGATGACGAGAATGATGTTCCAGACTTTCCGCTTCCAGAAAACAGAAATACATATGGCTTTCGGTTCTTTGCGTAGCAAAACAACATAGCAAGGCGGCTCTTCGCCGGTCCATCTCTCTTCAAAAAGCCCAGATATTGCCAAGAGAAAAGAAGATACGATTTCCGCGTTTGGGCTTTCCGAGGGCATACGCTTTCTGTTCGTGATCAAGGAGCGAGCCTGCAGGAGGCATAACATACGGCTCAAGGACCATCTCCTTTCCAAGCCCTCACGCCCAACACTCTCTCAAACCCGCTCGCTTCTGGCTGTACCTGTAGAGCTCGAGGAGGTCCCCGAAGGCGAGGAAGGAGTGCGACACGACGGAGGCGAGAAAGCGCAGGTCGTGCGCGAGCGCCCCCTGCACTGCGGTGTCGGCGCGGTCGCCGGGGTGCCCGAGCGCGTACATCAGGCTGAGGCCCCACGTGACGTTGTGCGGCAGCTGCTTCGTCACGAACTCGTCCACCACGCCAAACGCCCACCGCACGCGCAGCAGCGTGCGCGAGTGCGACAACAACGAGCTGAACCGGCCCTGCGCCACACCAGGGCGGAGGGGCGGTTAGCGGGGGTGGGGAAAGGGAGAAGTCTCGAGTAACTTCGGGTTTAGGTTTTAGTTTGTTTGAGCCCGGAGACTTTATTTAACTCAACATACACCCAACTCGACATTACATCGAGACTTATCGGAAAGGGCGGCCTTTGTAATTTGGGCTACGAAATACAGGAGGGAAGCGGAGAAGGGAAGGTAAAGGGGAAGGGGAAGAAAGCAGGCGGGCATACGAGCAATATCACCATTATCGCGGCTAAGCCAAGAGTCGTGGAATAGGCAGAACGAGTTCAGGTGGCAGGCAGTGCTGAGGCGCTTTCAGCAACCGGGAGCACCCAGCGAGGCACCACCTCTCCACAAGGTTTTGGCGCAGCGCATCGCATGTGCAATCTCTCAACGTGAATGGCGGCCTTACCTGCACCATGGCCTTCTCCCTGTCACCGCCGCCGAAGAAGGCGACCGACTCAGCGTGCGTGCGTAGGCGGGAGTGCAGGAAGCGGTAGGCGCCCTCCAGCGCCTGCTCCTTGCTGGTGAGCGCGCCCAGGTTGGGGGTGATGGCGCGCAGGAAACCAAAGCCCAGGATCATGTACGCGTACCTGCAAACAGGCGCACAACGGCCTCAGGCGGCGAGAGGCCGTACAGGTGTCCGTTCTCGGTCAATCATCGTGGCAGTGGACCTTAAAACCCTAGCACGGATATGTAACACATCTGCAGATCTTCCACGCACGACCCGCCTTGGCCTAAACACCGTTCCACAATCTTCAAGCCGCCCAAACAAGCGCTCGCACACGGGGTTTCAAAACTGGGCAGAATAGCCCATCGACCCCAGAGCCACGCTCGCACGGAGTACACAGTGTGATCGCTCACAGGAGGCCAACGCCGGTGCGGCCGGTGAGGGCGTGCATGCGCGCGGTGAACCATGCGATGTCGACAACGGGCTTGACCATGGACGTGACGAGGCCCGCCAGGTCCTGGCACAGCTTGTCGACGTCCACCGTCAGCCGCTGGTCCGCGTCCGGTACCGTCTCTACTAAGTGGGTCGCCTTGTAGAACGCCAGGTTGCGGAAGTAGAACCCGGACAGGTGCTCCGTCAGACGCCGCCGCCACCCCAGCGCCAGCTTGTTCGTCAGGTGCCTGGAGACACCGGGGAGCAAGCCGCGTCGATGTATAGCAGCAGACTCGACAAGAGTACGGGACCAGGTTTGGAATCTGGGGAATTTCTTTGGCAACTGCTTATGGAGCTGAGAATCGTCTACGAAAACAAGGAACGGATCGTTGGGCATGCCTGAGCAGGCAGAAAGGGCTGCTGCACAGCCGAAGCGCAAAACGGCGAATAGGACGGGCTAGATCCGATGAGCGGGAATAAGGTTCGGCCGAGCACCGAGAGACTCTCAATGTGCACAGTGCGGAGCTTGCGATTCAGACAGAGAGGTCTTATCATTTGCCTTCACTGTCAACAAGTAGGTCGGATTCGCACGTTGTCGAGACGACAATGCGGTCGCCTTTCTTCTCCCGAAGCCCATCCGTTTCCAGAAAACCAAAAACACAGCCGGTTTCGCTCGTTGCGCAACCGGCTCCGCGTCGCCCTACCTGAGCGAGGGTGCGACGATAGCAGACGCGAGGCTCTGCAACACGCTGATCCCGATGAGGCGCGCAAAGGCGCGGCGGTCCTGCTGCAGCACGTTCTTGACGGACGTCCCGTTCAGGCTGGCGATGCGGTCGCTGAGCGCGGTGCGCGCCACCACGAGCCCCGCCAGCGCCGCCATGCGCGCGCCCTGTCCGTCCAGGACACGTGGCACCAGGATGCGGAACAGCGTGCGTAGCCGCGCCCACGTGGGCCGGGGCTCCGCTCTGGGAACGGGGACGATCGGGACCAGGGCCAGAGGGTCGGGGGCGGGCGAGCAGGCCAGCAGACGGCCGCGGTAGTTCTTCTCGACTTCCTCCTGCATGAGGGGAGGGGCGGTCAGGGCGCGATGCGGTCTTCCAAATCAGGAGGACAGGAGGCTTCTCTTGACAGACAAGAGCAGGAGCTGCATGAGGAGCGAAAGTATAGAGAGCGAGAAGTTACGGCACCTTTGTCGTGGCTCGATCAAACAAGAGTGAGCGAGTCAGACCGGGTGAGCGAGTCAGACCGAGTGAGCGAGACATGCAGACTGGGAGGACAGGGCGGTTCGACAATCTGCAAGATCTATCAAGGCAGGGGTGTGACATTCCGTCGTCCATCCTTGAAACGCTGCGCTCACTTCTTCCTCCAGCTTTCTGAACGAGAACGCCTTGAGGTTGTTCTTGGCGTCCGCTTTCCGGTCCGAGAGCGCCAGGTCGTCGCCCGCTCCCAGGCCGGCTAGCTTGGGGGACGTCGACGCGAGGCCGCTGCCGGTAAGCGATGCGGTAGAGGAGGAGCGCGAGACGCCGTCCTTCTTGTTGTGCACGCTCCAGCCGCCCTCCCCGTCGAGCGCGAGCACGATGTCGTGGAACGCGACCAGCGCGGGGCGGTGCGAGATGGTCACGCAGCTGGTGCCCATCTCGCGGACCTGGCCGTGGGGCAGGCCAACGATGAGGCGGGGAGGAGACGGTTGGGGCGGACAGATTGGCGAGAGACTGACCCCTCAAAACTCTGACCAATCATTATGAAACAGGCCGGAGAAAATGCAGCTCAAACAGCAATGGTTTCGCAGGAGGATGAGCAGGGGCCCGGCAACCCGACGCGCGGTTTGACACTCGAATGGACTCGCTCGACATGCTGCGAAGACGATTAAAGGGCAGTCGTTCGATCCTCGTCGCGCTGTCAAGCTGTACCGCCAGTCTTCTCGCGCCCCTGGCGTGGCCTCACCTTGTGGCAGAAGCGCTCCTCCATGTCGGTCGTGACTGCGCTGGTGCACTCGTCCTGCACAGGGCCCACACACAGTGAGCTGACTGCACATCAGATGCTCCAAGCACTCTAATCAGCTGTTGCAGAGTAAAAGTGCTGCACAACAATCGTACAGCAAGTAAACGTGAGCAACAGTCAGAGCAGCACATAGGAGACAAGCTCAATCCCTTCCTCGAGTCTCCTTGCAGCGACACTACAGGGTTAGCAATCCCCAGATTGCGCACATTCCGGCCCGCCCTGGATTGTGTCCGTGCCTCACCAAGATGGCAAACATGGGCTCGTGGTAGAAGAGCCGCGCCATGCCCAGCCGCTGCTGCTCCCCCAAGCTCAGCTCCTGGGGAACACAGGAAGGCACTCATAATCAGCGCCAAGTTCACGAGGTCTCCAGACACGGGCCCCTGAGTACACCACAGAAGCACCACCCCAGCTATCGGTTGAAACTCAAAAACCTCCTCCGTATTGATTGGTGAGGACCTGGTGGTGATGCCAAAGCTCCATGGCCACGGCAACCTAGAACTTCTCCTCTCAATCCTGCTTCACGAAGTAGGAAGCCCTGAGCCACTCCAAAACGGAACGCCGAGCCCCTCTATTGTGGGATGCAAGCAGCGTTCCGTCAGCAAGAGCTGCGGGTCTGCCGTACTGTGGTGTGCTTGCGCTGACCTCCCCCCAGTTGACCTCCTCGTCCGGCCCGTAGCGGCCGAGCAGGTACTCGAGATCCACCATCGCCAGCAGCTCCTGCATGCGCAGCGCACTCAGCGGCTGCTCCTCCTCTGCCGCCGTCAGCGGGTAAATCAGCTGGTCCCGCAGCGTGCCTGCACCGCACCGAGAAGCTCAAACACGCGCGGTCTAGCTTGGAAAAGACCTTCCCTGCGGATCTTACATTTTGCTTGGCTCTCCACCTAATGAGCTGATTGGATGGGCGCAAAGCTAAGTGCCATGCGACGATTTCAGGAGTGCAGAAAGAAACTTGCACTTTCAGGCCTCCTGCAGTGAGCACAGCCGAACAACGGATGCGAGAAATACAGTGGCGGAAACTTTGTACCGCCATGGACGCCCCCGAATGTGCTGAAAAGCCCACCCGGCAACATCCAGGACAACTGGAGCAAACAATCTGTGCGCGGTGCCCCTCACCGACTGCGGTGTAGGGCCGCTGCGGGACGTAGAATATGTTTTTGCTGAGGCCGTCAACGTCCTTGCTGCCCGGCTTGTGGATGCGGCCTGCGACGAGCGGCCAGAGCCCCCCCAGGACCCGGAAGAGGCTGCTCTTGCCGCTGCCGTTGGGGCCCGTGATCAGCAGGTTACTCCCCGGCTCCACGTCTAGTGTTAGGTCCTCCACCAAAACGGTGCCCGCGGGGGTGACCACCTGGAGGGAGAGACCAAAAGCCTCAGCTGACAGGTATGCGGGCAGCGAGGACTCCTTTACTGGTCAACAAAATGTGCTTGACTGTTCCCTGAGTGGCTTTACAGCCTGAAGCGGTCCAAAGTGGTGGCTGAAATGTCGGGCTCGGAACGTGTGCGCTTTTCGTATGATATCGGAAGCCGAGCACCAGCGGAGGATCCACTTCTGTTGGACTGGATTCGTGTAAGTCGAGCTTGAGATTTTTGAAGAATTTGGATACCCTCGACTTCTTCTCGTCAAAGAAGTCGGTATATCGCAACAGGAGGCTACCAGGCTCAGGACGTCAAGCTTGGGACGTCAGAATGCGGAAAAATCATTTGGACGACATGCGGTCCAGCTGCCCTTCGCACTTCTTCATCTTTGGAACGACTTTCGCAGGCCGCTGGTCAGTAGTCCAGCGAGATTGCCCTCGAGCCGGGCTGCGCAAGTTGCACACGGTAAGGCAATCAGACTTAAGAAGCGCAGGCTGCACCTTGACATCTTCGAAGGCGATCCTGTTCCCTTCCACGAATCTGCTGCCCGCCCCTTCCAGCTCCGCTTGCCCGGCCTGCCGCAGCTCCCGAGCCACCGACATGAGCTCCTTGATGCGGTCAGCGTACCCACTGCAGAGTCACAAGAAGCATGGCAGCCTTCAACATCCTTAGGACCGCCCGTCAGCAGCGGAGTTGAATGAGGGAGGATCTAAACAGAAAGAAAAGCTTGGAGGATGGCGTTTAAGTAAAGCGCGGGTTTCTCTCGTGTTTCTCTCGATCGTAAATTCAGCAAGAAAGCCTGTCTGTTTCCTCGACCCAAGTCTGTAGTCACACCTCGTCTTCGTTCGTCGACCTCGTAAGCAGGCTAGCCATCAAACAAGCTACCGCCCAACCCAAAGTGGCTCCAATGAACTCTTCGCCGCGAAACAATCGTACCTTCATTTTGCCTTGGCCTTTAGAAGCGCATCGCACCCCTCCGGCGCCGCTTTTTCGCCGCCTCACCTGAGCCTGGCGAGCCGGCGGGAGCTGCCCGCGAGCGTGCCCACCGCCCCGAACAGCGAGATGACGACGCTGGTGTGGTACCGCATGTTGCTCAGCATCTCGGCGCGGCCCAGCGTGTCGCTGCTGGGCCGTAGATTGCCTCCGAAGAACGGCCCGATAATGAGCACCACCGCCCACGTGGCCCCGCAGTACTTGAGCACGAAGTCCTGGATGCAGCCGAACCACCACTGCGTGTGCAGCACCGCCGAGTGGTGCCGAATCAGTTGCCGGAAGCGCGCGCTTATAGTAGAAGCCTGCGGGCGACAGTGAAAGGTGCACGGGTGGGAGTTTATTCAGCGCAGACCTGACTCCGCTTTTGTCGCTCCATCGAAGAAGGTGCGAGAGGCAAGCATTGAACAGCATACGAGGAGCTCCTTAAAACCTCAAAGCTTTCGAGACTATATCTCCTCATTTCGACGTCCAAGGAACACAACGACGTACAATCTGCTCGGAACTGCCTTCGCTGAGCAGGCGACAACCAATCCTGAACGACGGAAAGGGACCGGATCGGAGGAACCAAGCAGAACCACGCCGGCAGGTTTGATCTTCCGCTCCATTGCAACGGCACCTCGGGGCTCACCTCCCTGTCCTGCCCCCCATAGAATGCGATGCTTTCCGAGTGCGTGCGTAAGCGTGCGTGCAGGTGCCTGTAGTCGCCCTCCAGCTGTTGCTCCTCGCCCATCAGCTTTCCGAACGGAGGAGATAAACCACCCGTGATCAGGCCTGCGCCTGCGGACAGGAAGATGCGCCACGTGTCGAATTCCAGGTTCTCAATTGCTCCGTAGCTAAGCAGAAGCATTCAATAGCTAGCTCTAGGACTCCGCTGCAATGATTTCCAACAGGCAGGGCTCAAAAATGACGCAAGAATTACGGAGATCGCCTACAACATCCCCAAGACTGACAATTGTCACCAGATACGCATTGAAAGCTTGAACACTTTACAGCAGCTTGGGGACGAACAGCGGGGCCCACGAGAACGCTTTTCTTACCCAGTACATAGCCCAAGATGCCGAGTGCGTATTTGACGCCCGAGTAAGAGCAGAGGCGGTAGGTATAGAAGGAGCCATCAATGACAGCCTGCACGGGTAGACGTGTGTGTTCACCAATTCGATTCGAAACCGTCCGGATCCGACACCCTCCTGAAATTCGAGTTCAGTTCGTAAATCTCCAACGCAAAGCGAATTCGGAGCAGACAACTCATTGATCATCCTCTGCGTCCAAGCGACAGAATTCAACTTGATGAGGCTTTTCAATATCTGAGAATGACAGTTGCTGATTCGAAGATCAGTACGGCCCTTCGAGGCATCTGAATCCCGCGCAAAAGGACCCACTTCGAACAGACACGATCCGCAAGGCCCAGGTGTACGAAGTTTCTGCGGGCATGGGGCTCACGTTAATGCATTCGACGAGCAGGTCGCTGAGCTCGGTGCAGAACTTGGGGATGTCGCTGGCGAAGCGCTGCTCGGGGTTGGTGACCACCTGGTGCACGTGGCTCATGCGGTAGTACGTCATGTTCTGGAAGTAGTCCCCCGTGATGCGCTCCGTCAGGGTCTGCCGCCACGCCAGCTGCAGCCGGCCTCGCAGATACCGGGTTGTTGCGTCCTGCACAAGTATCCGCTTATCAGTGTGTGGTTGATGATACCGCCGTCTGGTCCCACTCAAGAGGGAGCAAACGGTAAGGGTGCAGTTGTAGGGGCAAAAGCGAGACGTTGTAGCTTTACGCGCTTTATAGAAGGACTTACACTCAAGGTTGTGTTCGTCGAGCAGCCGCAAAGTGCGTATGTCAGAGAAGCATGTGATCGGCTCTGGTTGTGGATCCGATGCAAAGCCTATTCGGCTAGAAGGTGGATTAGACGATATTAACCCTGAAAACGGACAGACATGGGCAGCTGACAATAGACGCATGCGGGCATGAGCGATTGAACACTTACGATGAGCGACTGGGAGAAGCAGAGAATGATGTTCTCCGTAATGAGGCGCACAAACTGGGGCACTTGCTTCAGAAAGGCCGTCTTGAAAAGGAACCCTTGGACGCGTGCTAGCCGGTTGCTTAAGGCAGTGCGGAGAACCTGCAGGAGAAGAGGAATGAGCTCCATTAGCACTGCCCTAATCAGCAAAGCCTGCTTTGGTTGCCCTTGGGAAAAAGTGACTCGAGCGCCCAAACTCCAACAAAATACTTTGTTGCGTTCTCACGCAACAGTTGTTGCCCCATCCTACATCAGCCTGAACATCAGATCCGATCAACATCTACAAGCCACCATTCGCCTGCAGCCATTGATATCAAAGGATAGCCAAATAAGATTGATCTTGAGCAACAAAACCAGGCTAATCTCCATGTCAGCAGATAACGCAAGTGCTGTAAGAAGGTGATCTACACAGGGACTTTATTGGGGCAGGTTCACCACCACCCCATCGGAAGTTGTCATGATGCGGTGATCTTCTGGCAGAAACTCCAGTCAAAGTATACAAAGCCATGTGGTTGAATCAAAGCATCCCATACAAGTCCTTGCCAGGAAGCCTGCGCAATGGCCACTAGAGCTTTTGAGGTTCAAAGGAAGTTTTACGAAGGGGGTAGTATTTTGAAAATGGTGGAAGAAGTGACCCTGCTGGGTTCAAGCTACGAATGTTGATGAAACGAGTACTCACTGCAATAGCGACCAGTTTCACCAGGTTGCCCATGCCCCTGCGGCCCATCTGGGCAAGCAGTATGCCACCCAGGTACGACACCGCTGTAATCCCCCCCTTCCGCCTGCCCCCACCCTTCCTACATGACGCAGAATGTTTGCATATCAGCAATTGGTGCTTAGATTCATGTCAGTAAGGTTTGGCCCTGGTTGACTAAGACAATCTCTTCAAAGGACAACTACAAACGGGCGCCGTCGACCATCTTTGCACACTTCAACAAGAAAAATAAACCTGCTGACAGATAGTTCCTGCTCAGGAACTTCAGATCTCGAATATACCACAGCATTGCGAGCTGGGACAACCACTGAAACGCAGTCTCCTCAGCATAATGGTTAAACTGACCTACCTATGTGGCTTAAATGGCGCCCTAGCTCTGATCCACCTCTGAATGGAGATTATCCAGAAAAACAGTTGTTATAGGGCGCCCCCTGCCTTTTCACAAAGGAATGTCATCAACGTTAACTTCCAAGTACAGCATCACATTGAAACTGTGCTACTTGCTCAGCCATGAATAAGTAGGGTTTTTGAGTAAACTTACCTTCGGCTGGATGATCCCAATGCATGTGGCTTTCCCAGCCCTTTCTCCCCACCCTCGCTTACAGCAGCTTTCAACTTCGCAACTCTCCTGGCCTGTGCTGCCTTCTCTTTGGCAAGGTAGTAGACCAACCCCCCACTGGCGGCTACGCCTAAAACAATGGCTGCAGACCGCCTTCTTCCGGCGAGCATCTTCTGTAAAGTCGCCATCCGTCCCCGCTGCCAGTTTACTATACTGCCCTGGGCCCGGCGGGTCGAATCAACAGCCCTGCATGGGCGACCCTCACCCCCTCTGCAAAGCGCAGGATGTACTCGAGTTGCACAATCCCAATGGCTCAGCGCTGGCAGGCTCCACCATGAAAGCCAGCGTCAGGAACCACTCGCGCCGAGAGCGCGCGCATGGTTTCTTTTGACTCCGGTTTGCACATGATGCGGCATGCCCAAACGCGCATGGTTTGTTTTGACTCCGGTTTGCGCAATGGCTTAGATTTAACTTATTTTAAATTACTATTAAAAGACGGGATCCCCAACGAGTCGAAAGCTTGGTGTTTCTATTCACAGCACTGATGTCAGCATCATGGCTATCTTTGCAAGGGAGCATCATCATTCAGTGTGCACTCACGAGCTCAGAAGCAGCTCATGGGAGTCAAGGGCGATTTGATCAGCATACTAGTAGTCCTTTCAAAAGGGTTCCAAAAATTCAATGCTGCTTCAATGATGCGTATTTGCCATACATATAACAGTGTTTTTACTGCTCACATGCACAAGCATGAAATGATGCCCGAAATCATGATGAGACTTATCGTAAGAGACATACAATCAGTATGGACAAGACACCATGTATTTGCTTTTATAATTTAGAACCTAGTCGGAATTCTGTTCAAAGGATCATTACTGCCCCAAAGAAATCAGATGATACAACATTACATACCATGCTAGAATCCGTGAATTCGACGCTCTAATTTTGTGTCCCTCCCATCCTCCGTATCTGCCAATGCTCAACGTGCAACAACTTTGAAGTCCGTGTGAGAGCCAAATCGGATGAGAGGAATCTAAACCCTATTACATGCCATTGCATTTTGATTGCAAAACGATCATTGTATACGCTCCCGGCAACTTTTAATTTAGGACAAAGCTGCGCTAGGCGCATCGATTTTTTGAAAAGCACTTCAGTAATATGTTTCAGGCCGGTACTGCTAGTAGGACTTTCATAGGCCGATTGGAAACTCTCGATCTTCGCGGCCGCTGTGCCTCTTATGTTTTAGCCGACAATCAGAGCCTATTACGCCGACTGTTATGTACCGGCGCATTATACTTTTCAGCCACCTTCATAAACTGATGCGAAAGGATTCACCAGCCAAAACTAGAAAACTAGTGTCCTCCATGGATCGGCGAACAATCAGAAACGAAAATGACAATGCCAAAAAATCCCCTCTGTCAAAGAAAATCGACAAGATGCATGGGGAGTTGTCCATGTTATGTAAAGTCCATGAGCGAGCTTGGCAACAGATCACCATTCACTTGTGAGAACTGTGAACAGCACAAAAGCGAGAGCTGAAAAAGCTACCCGAATCAGAACTTTCACATGAGAAGCGAATCTATCATTTGCAGATTTTTAGTACGTGGGCAGCTTGGCGACCCAGAGCACTTACAATTGAGAGGATGTCCTGACTTGTATAATGCTTTGTCCCAGGAATTTGAAAACTCCAGGGAATAGCGTCCTCTCGAAGTTGTAGATGGATCAAATTGAAAAGATTGTATGCGGAGCTAGACTTCAGCAGTTACACTCTTGGAACCTACAAATTTCAGTGCTTTGCTGAGGCTAAAGGAGCATTTTCCGAGTGCTTTCCAGGGGGTGGGTTAGGCGTGGCAGTTGGGGTGGATGTCGCTGTGAGGGCGGCTGGATCGGACTTCTTTTTCCCACCTCCGGTTGCAGCTTTATATCCCCCATAGATCAGAAGTCCCCATCCGGCAAGCGATAAGAGCACGAACTGCAGATAAGGCAGGTTTCAAAGGACACCAATCAAAACTGCATTGGTCTGTCTGCGATATCAACTTGGACTTACAACCAGCACATTGGAAGGACAAACAGCAGTCATCGCACAGCTACCAGTTTATTTCTAAACCAATGCCCTCACCTGTTCTTCCTTCCAATTTCCAGGATTTGTTGGCTCCTTCCAAAAATCTGCTTTGCTAGATTCATGACCGTGAGCTCCTGCAAGAACGTGCATTCAGATCAAAAAGTGTGCAATTTGACGAGCATATCGCCAGTCCAATCTGCTGAAGAGTCCAGACTGAAGTGTAAACGCTGTAGTCACCACTTTTTGAGCGGGGTTATTTTCAAGGGCCAGAACAGAGGGCAGAGTACTTACACTGCTTACCATGGATCAGCACTGAAATACCTGGTAATGATCCATACAGGTGAATGGCTAGGCAACACATAAGATTGTTTTTTGGTGAAAAGACTTCATATAGGGAGAGATACTGAGATTCTTGGTACCTGCAGCATGCATGGAAAAAGAAATGGATGCAAACTCACCAGCTGCAAAGCTTCTGGTTGGAACAAGGTGGTTCGTTTTCATCAGAGGCGTGGAGAGGCGCAGCTGCCTGGCAGCCGTCTGAAACAGTACTTGAGACATGATCGCTTGCTGCCACCACAACCTGCAGGCTTGATCTCACTTCCCCGCTCGAATGCACTCTTCTTTTAGAGTAACTTGAAGGGATGCTGAGCTTTGAATATCTCAATGCCCTCTCAATGTCTGCTCAAACCCTCAATTGCAAATAAAACGCCGCTTGCAATCAAAAGAATGAGAAACGATGAGCCGTCCTAAAACCGTGTTTGTACAGAGGCTAAGGCGGCACCAGCCACCAGCGTTCGATTCTATAGATCCGCAATAGCAATGTGGCCACCACCAATGGCAACAAACCACCCTCGGATCACCCTGCCGCCCCTCCAAGTTTTTAAATCCAGTATATCGAGTAGAAATGTCTGATTTATTCATGACTTGTGAGTTTTGAGTCTTGACTCGAGTCTTGCCAGGGCCGCAAGACTCGAGTCAAGAATCTACGATGTGATACTGAACTTCGCCTACAGATCGCCGGGGACCAAGGTTGCCGGAAGCGCGGAGCGAAGTACCGAGCTGAGCTACCGGGTAGCCGGATGGCTTTTGGACGGGGTATAGTGGTCGGTTTGCTTCTCAAGAGTCTACCGGGAGGTCAATCAAACTTAAATTGTACCGATTGGTAAAATTACGGTAGGTAACTGATGGCGACGAATTCTCTTTCATCCACCGTGCCCTGAGTTGTAAAGTCCGGCGACAGAGGGATACCCATATTCGCGTGGAAAGGTCGCTCAATTGAGACCTCCCGGTAAGACATTTTCGACGGCCTTGCCAAACGCCCGTAGATTCAGTTCGATAAAGTGCTGTACGTGCTAATCCGTCAAAAAATTCTGCCGCACTTGCCCGCGCTCCCGTCACCAAATTCACCGGTTTCGACGATAAACGGCCTTTTATGTAGAAACAGGGCAATATTCTAGGTATGGCGTGTGCTGAGAAGTTCAGTAATAACTGATCGATATTCCATGGGATTCTGCAGGATTATTTCGCGCAAAAGTTGCAATCGCTTTTCATGTCGCCCCGAATATAGCCGTTTCAACCCACCCGCATTCACGCGTCAATCGGTTCAGACTTCTTGTCATATCTGGTTGAAACTGCCGGGAGCCCTTGCGGAGGTCCCCGGCAGAAGAAGCGGTAGGCATTTTGGGCAACCTCGTGATACCTCAGGACGAGCTGGACGTGGGGATTCAGCTATCGTCAGCCGCCTTTTATAATTTATTGAATCCCATATGCCAATAAAATACAGCATTTTCGAAAACAAGCTGCCCGAACCAATTGAAGGAGAGACACGGAGTCCTTCAAGGAGTGTTTTGAAAGTTGACCTGAAAGTCTTCAGCTCGTGTTGTCTTTCAACTTCCAACTTCAAGCCATGGCGCAAGCAGCCACTCGGTCTGTACAATCTTTGGTAACGTCTTCCTTGCTGCGTTCGAAGCAGGCTTCTGCCTATTCAGAACGCCAGCTGGGAGGCTGCAATTCCCAGGTGCTCTCTTATCCACGCCGCCGCTCGCTGACTTCCAGTTCTGCACGCAGCGAGCAGCCCAATTACGCATCGCCAAAAGACTACAGCTCTCCCAAGGACTACAGCTCGCCCGCAAGCTCAGACCAGCGTCGATCAGCGCCACCTGCAGAGGGTGCAGCAAGTTCTGGAGGATCTGCTCCAAGTTTTTGGGAGTATCAGGCTCCTCGCGATTACAGGTTGAGCATTTCACCTGCCTTGAACATGTTGCATTACCTCCAGGCCATCGATTGCAGGATCAGCCTACGGTGCTTGTCTGCACTCTGTTCTAGAATTGCCGTCTATGAAGATGATGATTGATTGTTGGATGGAGATCAAACATTGGGGCCTGATACAGAAGTTTGATGCATCAAAGGGCAGGAGGATATCTGATAAGCAAGGGGGAAGATAGGCCCCTTGCTTCCTCAGGCCAGTCCATGCAATATGTGCAGTGTCCTTCTGATGCTGTTCAAAGTTGATCAACCTGTTCATGAAAGATGCATGTAAGTGAATCTTTCACATGCATGCTGTTCGGACACCTTGCAGGTCCCCTGGCAGCTACAAGTCTCCTGGTGATTACGGCAGCCCTGCCCCGTACGGCCCAATAGACAGGGCCGGTAGCATTGGAAGCCCAAAAGGCGGGGTCCGTAGCATTGAAAGCCCAAAAGCCGGGGCCAGTAGCATTGAAAGCCCAACAGGCGGGGCCGGTGGCAGTGCAAGCCCAACAGGCGGATCCGGTGGCAGTGCAAGCCCAACACGCGGATCCGTTGGCAGTGCAAGCCCAACAGGCGGGGCCGGTCAGTGCAAGCCCAACACGCGGGGGAGGTGTCAGTGCAAGCCCAACAGGCGGGGCCGGTGTCACTGCAAGCCCAACAGGTGGGGGAGGTGGCAGTGGAAGCGGAGGCAGCGGCGGTGGGGACGGCAGCATGGGGGAAGGGCCTGCAGGGGGAGGAGGCAAAGCCAAAATGTCGCAGACTTTGACCATCTTGTACGCTGCACTGGTGGCAAGTGAGGTTTTGCTGTTCCTTTCCTGCTGTCATTACTGGGTGAAACGTTCAAACAGAACCTGTTCACTGCTGGTCTTTGCTACAATACCTTCTCAAGAATCAAAAACGGTAGGAGGTTTCAGGGGATGGCGAAACAGACTTGAGAGATCTTCATCTCTTTCAACCGTTTGCCAGCATAAAAATCTATTCATGTGACTGTTAAGTTGACCAGCTGTTTGCCTTCTTTGTGGCAAAGCACACTTATGGCCAGATTCATTTTTGGGGAGGATGCCGTGGCCCCCAACCCACTGCTTGCAACCAGACTGGATGGAACTCTGTCTGAACGCATTCCAGTGTGGGTGGCTGATTGATTGTAGATCTGAAGCAACTTCCAAGCAACTGCGCTGGCAAGACACAGCTCGGAAGGTAAACGCATTGAACTTGTCCTAATTGTTTCGCTTGTTCATAATGCAGTTGGGGGTGTGGTCGCCTACATGAAGAAGGGCAGCAAAGACTCGCTGATTGCAGCGTCTGTATCGTCCATCCTGCTCGTCTCCGCAGCTGCGCTTATTGGGTCCAATCACGTACTCTATGGTTCGATCCTAGGACTTGGTGAGGATTTCCGTCCTTCTGTTGGTGAGATGTTTGTAAAAGCTGGCGCAAGTCCAGCATCTTAGTGCAGCTCTCTGCGAGTCATCATTGATCATTGTTCGCAAGTTTCTTGGATTGGCATCTGAGTTAGTCATCGATGCCGCAGGCTCTCTTAACTATTTTCGTCGCCAAATTGCTAGCAAACTGCCAATCCTTCTTGAGGTAAAGAATTGCGATCCGTTCTTGCAGCTGTGTCGGGGGCCCTTCTATACGTCATGGGTTCCCGTTTTCTCAAATCAAGGAAAGTAATGCCAGCAGGTCTTGTTTCTGCCATCTCGCTGATTATGAGCTTTGGATACTTTCACGGGATACAAAAGGCATTTCACTAGTTTGGAGTTCGTGCCTTCTTTGTACAAAGACGGGACTACAGGGCAATTAAAGGCACAATAGACCCACATGCTTTTGTAAAATTTTTACTATCAAGCTAGCAGTTCTAAGTAAAGAAGAGCAAGTAGAAGTCCATTCAATGGTTAGTGTGACCCTTCAAGGTTGTCCAAGTCAAATAATGTGGCCTATGTCCGATCATGATCAAAACTAAGCCGGGCTTCTGCGGAACATATCTCCACGTGCGAAGTCCACAATCGGTCATTAGGATCAGCACTAATTTCGGCTCCTGCATATGCACAAGGGTCAGCACCCAAATTCAAAACCTAGTGTCTCCCAGCTAGACACTCAAGCACTGGTTCTAAAAACACCGCGACACCTAGAAATCGCCGGGTGGCCAGGTCTAAATCTTAGCTAAAACATGCTGGCCCCATGGTACGTGTTACGCATATATAAGGGCCCCCCGCGAATTCGCTCGTGAATCCGTTAAACGGATGCACGAGATCAAATTAGTGATCGAGGATCATGCATGATGATGGCGCATATAGTAGGTATTGTACGATATATAAGCACAATGGTATATACGGTAATCAATTCAGGCTGCATTCTATCAGCGTATAGTAAAGACTAATTTTATCGGATCTCGTATAATAATTCGACCGCGTCTATTGCATACCAACTCGAGGATCGACCCACCATTCCACCCTGCGTGACAGCTGCACGTCTTTACGTACCTGGCATGGCATGTGAATTGAAGTATACCATGATGCATGATACACATGCAAGCGCGCAGCGATCTGATGGCCTCTTACGCATGCATGGGAGAACTCCCATGGTGGCCGACGCAATCATTGAATCACTAGGTACATTCATTCAAGTGGCCACCGTCTTCTTGTCTTTTTGTAGTACCCATTATTAGATCAATGCACACGAACGCTCTAGCAAACCTTCAAAAACCAGCTTCGAAGACGCAACTCAAAAGCTACTTCATTCCAAAACGTACGTACTTGATACTTGGCACGATCGTACTAGGCCCAACGCCGCATCCATACCTCCAAAAGTCTGGCCACAGCCAGTGACTTTGATGTGTCAATCAATCACTCAGGCTTATACCTACCCGTTTCTGACTACCTAAAACTCTTGCGGCAGGCGGCTGCCACCCGGCTAGGTCAAACCTTTCTGTGCTTACTTTCAATTCAACAAGTGTAGACGGTACCTTACCATGACACAAGTAAGCGCCAACGACTGCAATCTCAAAGACCGTTATTTGATTTAAAAGGAACGCAATTCCAAGGACTCAAGAAACCTCCCCGGTTGTTATGCAGCCGCTGCCAACCCCAGCAGTATAGAAGCTTCAAAGAACTTCTGCCCGCAGGATTGTCCGCATGCTTCCATTGAGCGAAAGATACTGGCGTTGAGTAGCTCAAACGGTACCAAAGTCGAGTCTCGCTAAAACGAGCGGTATTAGTACACTGATTAGTGCAGTTGCATTTTGAGACCGTCTTGAAAAGCTAAAGGGCATGCTCTCCAATGGTCCGAGCCGCCAGCTTGTGTTGTGTGGCATAGTTGTACCCTTTTGCGCCATCCTTGACGTCCATCTCGGGGGGATCATTCAGGAAGGCCCAATTGGATCTTCTCCACCTAACAGAATCCACCAACAAAATAAGTCAAGTGCAAACCTTATCCTGAGCATCAGCTCAAATCTAAATGAGCTCCCTACTAGATGGCCAACGACTTGTTGATTAATCTAAAAGCTAGAGGAGAGAGTTGCATGGTTTTATGTCTCTCAGATTGGTACGCCGTCATGATCCGCATCTAGTCAAAGCATCCAACCAACAGGTGGAGAACACAACCTTTGTCCAAAATCGTTACAGATGGAATCAAATGGATGCTTGCAATGGTGCAGGAAGTCAAACTCACCATGCTTTTCGGGCAATTGTAACCTCCTGATTCTCATCGCTGTCAAGAACCCCTCCATCCAGGATACTGCGTGGTGAATCACTCTGCCGCGGACTCATAGTCTGCACAGCAATAGCTCTCATGGTTGTCATACTTGTCAGTACAAACACGACAAGTCTGACTTGGTAGCTTGAGACCAAGCTGTGACCAGATTGAGGGAATCCGAGAAGAAGATCCTGCTAGGTCAGTGTGATCTGTGTTCATCGTCTGATACTGTGCAAAAATACGTATGAAACATCACTCGGTTGTAGTCATAATGACAATCTATCTTAAATCCGCGCAACTGGATCCAGTTCAATACAATCTGTCAGTGAAAGCCTGAGACCCTGAACTACCTAGAAATGCAAATCATCCGCTAGCAGGTTAGCCCTGCTTCCAAATTGAAGATGTGGGCCTGCTTTCAGAAACCCGATCAGTATAAAGACGTTGATGAGGTCGGAGTTCCGCAAACCACTGTTACAGACTATCAAAAACTGAATAAGCGAGGCCTTTGGTTGTCCATCCCACTCTCTGGATGTCACAGGCATTCAAGACTGTGTGAAGATGAAGCACGGCTTTGGTAGGTTTCCAGGGTGCTTCAAAGTCTCACAGCTTACCCGGTATGTCTTCCTATCCTATTCAACTCCTGGTCCCTCTCTTGTAGCTTCACTACAGAGTTGAGATTTCTTTGCAGGTCATAGACTCTGTTTGATTACCCCGTTCGATTCCCCGTTTGATTCCCAGTCACCAATGAGAAACTATGTATATCCATACCTGGCTCCTCCGCATTGCCTCTTGCGCGTCCTGCTCTGCACTCTGCCCTTCCAGGGACTTACGATGCAGCTCGCGATGGAAGGCATCAATCTCCTGCCGGGTGGCTGACATGCTCCGCCGGTACGCTGCACGCATGGGGAAGGAACCGGGCATGAGAGTCAAGAAAGATGAAGCCCCCTGTTGCTAAGACAACTTGTGTTCTCTTAGCATCAGCTCTGTGATTGAGGAAGGAGCACAACGACTGGAATGTTACTGCAATATACTGGTGTCCATCGCCCCTACATCATAAGATGGGGGGATTTAACGAGATGTCCCCTTGCAGCCGTCCAGAATTCTGCAGAAAGGAAGAGTTTTGCAAGTCTCGAACAGACAATTGGGTCAAGCACCCTTTTGGAAACTGTACGCCCACAGTCCATACCATCTTCCATGTCAAAAGCTGTTGTACTCGCTCTCAACTTACAAGAGTATATCCCCTGGTGCGCCAAAGCCTGGCCATGTACGACAGAACTGACAAAATGCCCAGCTGCAACCAACCAGACTGTCCTAGCCAGCTTCACCTCCAGTATAGTTTCCCAGCTGAGTGCTCAGGCCCTCTAGGATAACCAGATTGGGATAGGTCGTGTGGAGTCCAGACCTTCAAGAGGAACTATAGACTGCACTAGTCCCACTAACTATCCAGGCGCCGACAGCTTGCAACGGCATACCACCAACATCGTAGCGATGCGATGGCCCACTCCTGCTCCATCAAACGCCTCAGCACAACCACCACTCAAAGCATCGCATGAACACAACCACCACTGCTGGTATCACCAAACCTTGCTGCAATAGCACCTCAGGTCATGAGACCGAGGGCAGACTTTGCAGACCGCACATGTTGCAGCTCCCATCAAGAGAACTGGTTTTCATCAAAAGTTAATTATAACGTGTGAGACCTTTCAAGGGAAATAATTCCTAACCCTGGAGCAACAACTTGAGAATGTTGGAAGCTCAAAGTTTTAAGCAGGATCCACAATCTCACTGGGGGAAGAGCTGCTGCCGGTGAAGGTCTCAGCCCAGCCCGGCCCAGGAAGAGAACCCATGACGCTGGTCGATCAAGACGTCGCCACCCGCAATGCTGGTCAAATGCTGCTTGTTGCAATGGAGTCAGCTGGGGCCAGCTTTGCTAGACAAAAGCTGCTGAGTCCTCACATGTGTAGCTTAATTTGCGCTCCCCTCACATCTGAAAGAGAGAAGCAATTGAAGCAATGGATGCTGGCGTCCCACAGGCGGCCTTTGATTGATGAAGCCGAAGAATCGCCCGCATTGCGCATTCAAAATTAGGGTTTCAACTTTGCGATCAGCTTTCTGGATAACTTTTGAAATCCTCTGCAGTTTGCTTCTCTCTTTCCTGTACTTTTCCTCATAAACAAGATCTGGAGGGTCGGAAGTCCTCATCGACGGCGCCGATGAGCAATGTCCATGTCAGCTAAAGTGCATGAAGAGGACTCTGCTTTTCAAGATTCTAGAATCTCGGACGTCCGAGCAGACGAGAACGCAGGCTCCGAGTCCTTGGCCGTCCGGTCTTCTCCGACTCGGGCTCCAGTGTCCAGCTCTGTCCGCAGTGCCAGCAGCAGAGCTAGCCAAGTTCCTTCAGGCTTCAAGTTCAGGCTTCAAAGTTCAACTAGGTGGTCGACAGACTTGAGTTCTTGTCCCATTTCCACAAAAGCGGCACAATGGCGGCGGCAAGCGTGTCCTCCCGCATGTGCGTGGGCAGCATTCCGTGCCAGACTAGCTTCAATGCGAGCATTCGTGCCAGCAGTGCCCCCTGCTCATCCTTGCCCATCCCTGTGTGTGGAAGGAAGCAACGTGTCCAGAGTCTAAGCTCTGCTAAGTTGCTCGCTGGCAAAGCAATCACCTTTTCGAGTGCCAGGCCAGTGGCCAGTGGAGGGGGGCGCACCAGCATCAGGGCCGCCCTTTCTTCTGCTGAGTAAGCTTTGTCGCTATTTGTCTTCCTCTCCCGTTAATTGTCTGTCTCCATCAAACCTTGCCAGATAAATGCTCTCCTGTCATACATTGCGCCTCTTTGTTCCCGTACTTTCTGCTCTGATTCACGTATCACTTCTGCGCGGAAGCTAGGAACCGTCATGTCAATATCTTTGCACTTATTGACCGGCAGCAACATTTATAGAAGTCATGCACAAAATGTGGGCGCACTAAAGAGCCGTCCTCAAGATCTGTGCAAGGTTATTTCTGGAGCATTCATGCTCCATTGACCATCAGGTTCCGTTTGCAATGTGCGAGGAGGCACTCAGCACGTGCAGATCCTGCACGCTGGTCTCTCACACTCTAGTGAAGTCTGTGTAAACCAGGTTCCTCTTACGTTACTGATTAATCAAGCAAGCCTGCAGCAATGGAAATGTTCAGTGTTTGTTACTTTATCCAGCTTGATCCACCACTTTTTCGCATCCTGCTCACCTCTCAGTGCGGATCCTGATCATGACCTGCACAGCATAGCAGATATGTTTCCGGTCAAGGGACTGAACGGACGTCATTCTTAATCGTATCCTTGGAGAAGCTGCACAGAGGTTGCCTGATGACGCAGGCCTCATTCCAACCGTAGTCTGCGCGTTAGGTCCTGCAAGTGGCTCTTCAGTGCTGACCAGCTTTGGATGTCTTGGACACTCACATCGCCAATCAGCAGTGAGCCACCGGTGGTGAAGTACGTCGTTTTACGGTTTCGTCAGTGCCGCCTTCCGTCTCACAGGACCCAATCGATCTGACATTCCTGCCAGTAGTGCAGACTGATCAAATCCCCTTTGACAGACGCATACCTGCCGCAGACGCCGGGAGTGCGCTCACACATCCTTTGCACTTCCTCAGGGCCGGCATTGCAACCTCCGACGTTGCTGGGCTGAGCAGCAAGTATGGCATTCCAGGTTCCGTGTCAATTGAGAAGGGCGAGGGCGGCAGCACCAAGGTGGTGCTCAAGCATGAGTCGGGCGCAGAGGCGGACGTGTACCTCTTTGGGGCCGTGGTCACTGCGTGGCGCCAGCCAGAGTGAGCCCCCAGCCGGAGAGAGCTCGATAAGGAGAACGTAGCTTGAAAGAGGGCTGTGGCAGAGGTGGACGTCTTCTAAAGATGTTGGGAGGATGCACTGGTCTGGCTAGGTGTGACCGGCAAGCATGATCAGGACTGGAACACTCGTAAAAAAGTACAGAGCAAAAGGATATGTGCATGCTTGTTTTGGATCCAGGGGCCGCCACTCACGAGGCTATCAACGTCACACTTCAGGGCAAGGCAATGAGCTCTCCATAGGCTCGATATAGTTGCGGCATGAAATCTCGTTCTTGAAGTGACCCCTCTCGGAGAGCCCCGATCGAAGGAATCTTCTCTTCTTTGCAGCGGCAAGGACTTCCTCTATGTCAGGCCCGACGCAAAGTTCGACGGGTCCAAGCCCATCAGGTGAAGTACGCTTCGTGCAAGCATATCCTCTATCGGTAGCAGCAGCGTAGGTCCTTCGTCCCACATTTTGAGCCAGGGAAAGACATGTGCCTGTCAGGGATTGCGCAAACGGCATGCCGGTTGGCGTATCCACATCGCAGACGTCAATAGTAATGCATGCCCGGTCAGTAGATTCGAACATTTGCAGAGTCACATTTTTAGTAGGTGGCACAGCTGCCGGACTTTCAAAGACTGACCAAAAGGTACCATAAATCACAGCCACGAAAGACTGTGGGTGTGGTAAAACATGAGGCTTCGCAATATAAGGAAATCCCCCTCTTCGGAGTTTTATACAGCAGATTAGGCATGCCTGAAGTTTTGCTACTGTGGTTTGGCACACCTATATCGAATGTGACATTCTTCTCTCCTTACTTCTTCGCTGGGCACGTGCCAAGTTCGTTGACAGCCCTCTGCCCTCTTCTCTGCAGTGGCGGCATCCCGCACTGCTTCCCGCAGTTTGGCCCTGGAGAAATGCAGCAGGTGGGTCTGTCTTCCAGTCCCTCGCCAAAGAGCGACTTGGTGGATTCGTAGCTGCCTTCTGCTTATATGCGCCACATTGGCATCGTTTCAGTTTACCTGGCTGCCTGTCGTGCAGCCGACCTTGGGATGTTTTGCTTTGAATCGCTCACAATGTCTCCTTCTCCACTTAGAGTCCTCAAAGGTCTGCCAGTGCCCGTTTGTCGCGTCTACCTTGCACTTCACGCATATCCCTCTGGTATCTGTGACACTCAAGCACTTCCACGTTCAGTGCATTGCTGGCACGTTTTCTGAGCCGACCACGAGAAGCCCGTGTCCCTCTCTCCTGCAGCACGGCTTTGCTCGCAACCTGGACTGGGCCATTGTGTCAACGTCTGCTGACGCCAACCCCGACGACCCCGAGCCGATGCTGGAGCTGCTGCTGACCGACAACGAGTACACGCGCAAAATGTGGCCCTACGAATTCGCTGCGGTCTATCAGGTGCGCCTATCGATTGCAGTTCCAATGATGTTATGCCCCAGTGTGCAGAGGACGCTTCTCTTGGGCTATGCAGTGCTGTCGTGACCTGCTGTAGGACCCCAGCCGATTCCGAGCAGCTGGCCTCTGGCTCTCAAGAAGCGCCCAGAGACGTTGTCGTAGTCCTGTTGCAATTCGTGGGGATCGTGCCTATACCGACCCTTCCAAACCTGATTTCCGAGCAAACGGTTCTTGCATTTGTAAGCCGCCCAGCTTTAGACGCTCCGCTGCCCGCGCCTAGTTGCGAGAGCTCTCTGTGACACTCCTCCGGCGCCTTTGGCTCAGGTAACGCTCAAAGCCGAGGCCCTGGTGGCATCTCTGCGCATCATCAACCTGGACACCCAGCCCTTCGACTTCACCGCCGCTCTGCACACCTACTTCCGGGTAAGCAGCCCGCAGGGGCCCCCAGTGCCCCCCCACAACCGGCCTATATCAAGCCTCAAACTGTGGGCTGAAATTGGAAGGAAGCCCTGGCAGGGGCCTCGCTGAGCAGAGGTCCAATCTAAAATTGCGAGCCTTATGGACACCGAGACTACACCGTCCACAATAGGGAGAGTTTTGTATATCCCCTGGGTTCGGGAGTGGTTGTTGGTGTTCTCTTCTGTGTAGATGCTGTATCATACTAGGGACTGCTTGTTCAGGAGGCCGTGTGTGGAAGAGTGCGCTGGAGCGGCCTTGGTCAGCAGTGCGAAAGTTGACAGAGTGCCAAGGCGGTTTATTCGTCATCTCCAGACTGTTAGCCGCTTCCGCTTCCCTTAGTTCGCATCCGCGTTCACTGGGAGTTATCTAGGCCAATTAACAAGCCTATCTAATCCGAGGACTACCAGCTGTCAATCCGCGGAGAAGATGCTGGAAAAGAGTTGGCGCAGTGCGGGTTCGCGTGAGAGCTGCCTGTCGAGACCAACTTTGACACTAGTTAACCGGGTCTATTCTCTTGGAAGTGGGCATCCTTGAGCTTCTCTTGGACATTCGGCACCTTTCTCTTCTTTCGATGCAATTGCGCTTGTAAGCTTCAATGTGCCTTTTTATGACAAGGCTGGTGCACGGCCTCGGTCTCGTCGTTGGCACTTTGTGATCCTTACAGAGTGATCATCGTGTAAGTGACGGAATCATTGGGTGCAAACTCCTGAGGGTGCCACGAAGTGGTAACTTCTGCGTAAGCTGAACCCTGGCCATGGTCTCAGCGGTAAATTTCAAAACCTGTTTCGGACCTGAAGTCGACCCCGGCAGTCAAACCTTGAACAGTGACCATCGTCTGCTCCACCTTGTGCAGGCCGCCATTGACAAGGTGAAAGTGTCCGGCTTGAAAGGCCTGCAGAGCCTCAACAAGGACCCCGACCCGAATAACCCCATCGAAAGCAAAGAGACCAGGTGAGCGCGCGCTATGCTGGGCTCCTGGCGAGAGGTGCCGAATAGTATTTGGAGATTTTTGACTCCTTCTAGTTTGTTGCAACTAGCACTTCTGTCGGCAGGGCGGAACGGTTGCGCCAAGAAAGTGCGACAGCAGAGCTGGCAGGTTGGCGGGTGCAGATCGAGGGTTGGCGGAGTGGCAGATCAAGGGTGGCCGGGTTCAAGCTCCGTCTGAAGGCATCAAGACTGGATTTGTACCGCGCAGCGAGGACCGTCGTGTTTGCCCTCCAGCTAGCCAGTTTTGCAAAGGTGCACCCATTGACCGCTCTTCATAGGCGGTGAAAGTTGTGTATCCAAAGGCTCGAGCTGCCGCTGTTTCAAGCATCTGCTTCCCCGCATACCCTGACGCCGTCGTTCCGGCCCGCGCAGGGACGAGGTGACGTTCCCCGGCTTCGTAGACGTCATGTACAAGGACGCCCCCGAGGAGCTCATCCTGGACTCCGGCCTCGGCTACTCCATTGCGCTACAAAGCACCGGGTGAGCGCCGGGCATCCAACACGGAAGACCTTGGCGCGAGCGGCAACGGCCTTGCTTTGGGCTGACAGTTTCCTAAAGCGACTAACATCGCGTCTTTGGCACAGGACAAAAGTGGACCTTTGTGAGGACCTTTCTGACAGCAGTGTCCAAAGCACTATGCGTTTGGGCGTCACCGCGGTGCATGTGGGCTTCGTTATCGCCAAGATGTGCCGTTTGAGAGTGTCGGCATCGGCCTTCTGTGTGCAGGTGGAAGGACGCGGTCACATGGAGCCCGTACAAGACCATGGAGTCCTGCTACAAGGAATTCGTCTGCGTGGAGAATGCACAGGTAAGAACGACTCTACTCGATGCGCGACAGCTTCCTGCTTGTGTCCAAGCACCGGTCTCCAATCGACGACATTTTAGACGCCTTCCTGTCGAACCTTACAATTATCATCACCTGCGTGCACGATGATTACCCTTACTGTTTCTGCACTGCTTGAAGGCAGAGTTTGAAGGCTTAAGTTCGTGGCTGTCTGAGTCTTTGTGGATGAGAAACGTGAATGCCAAACGGGACGATCAGGGGAAGCGGTATGTGAGAGGACCAAGAGATCCGCATTGAATCTGCTCCTTTTGCTGCGCAGCTGGACCCGGTGGTGGTGGAGCCGGGCAAGTCGTGGAAGGCGGAGCTCAGGCTGCAACCACACTAACGGCCGGCAGGCCGGACAAAATCTCTTTTTGTTTAGACACCAAACGAGCATTCTTTTGGAAAAAGATTCAGTTGCCCCTTGTACGGCAAAAGCTGGCCGGAAAAGGTCAATGCGAGAGTAGGCGCGCTCGGTCATAACTTTAAGACGTGTTGCTAGAGAGTCGGGCACATGGCTCAAAACTTTCGGTTGGTGGCAGTCCCCAACGTTGCTAGCTTACGAGCCCTGACTTGCGAGGCCGGGCTTTGACGAAGTCTTCGGGTGCTTACTGAAGCCGCATGAATTCTTGTACTGTCTAAACGAAACTCTATCAGCCGGCATGGCCCGTTTCGCACGGTGCTCATGCCACCATCGCTGCATGCTACAAGTTCAAAGTAGGACTCAACTTCGAAAGGACATCGCGGTGTGATCACGCTGTCCGTGTTTATGAATATTTTGGCATGAAACAGATGGGTCATGCAATGTGACGTTTGTATACGAGCTCTGCTGTTTCCTTCGCATGTTGCTCGCCTCACAAAGACGTGGCATACACAGACTTAATGTGCATGCCACCGATCGACCGATCGAGTGTGGCCCTCAGATTTGAGAGCGGCATTGAGCTTCCCGCAGCTTCTTTCTCCTGCATTCGACATCACGATCGATCCTGTATGAATCTGCAGAGTCCTGCGCGGCTTTAATAAGCTGTGAATAGGATACTCCAATTGACGTCCGGCCGAGCCTGACAAATTGGACTCGATCATATACTTTACACAGCTACTACCTAGATCAGACAAGGAAATTCACTGGCTGCAATCAAGTTCGATCGCTCGGATCTGTTAAACTCCTTTAAGATTTTAAGAATGATGTGAGATCATTGATTGACAATGCGAGCCGGATCCCGGCCTAATTGTGGGCGGGATTGACCCTATGCGAAGTTCGTACTCCAGATGAGTCACCAGAGCTTCGCTAGTGCTGGCACGTACATATACCCGTCCACAACCAGCCCACGGGCAAAGCGCACAGTCGCGCTAGAACCGTAGGATGCCAAGATGGCCGCCGTCGGCGAATTTGGGGCGTTGAATGAATTAATTCGGCAAAGATCTGATAAATGATAGGCCGAAATCGAGGAGGAAGAAGGTCATTGTCCAGCGCCTCTCTTTGGAGGAGCTATTTTGAATTTGAATTCTATGGCGGCAGGCGCCTAGCGGCTTAAAACCAGCCGCTGATCTTCGCTACAGCGAAGGGTGACCATTAGATCTGCAAGGTCGCCGACTGTGGGCCATCGATATGGATTGCGCAGGGTCCCGGGTGGCTCCTGAAATGGTCAAAGGCTGGTAGGGTGCATGGCACAGGTCAAAGACCTGCAGCATCAGATTGGTGTGGTCCACCAGCACTCAAATTTGCCTCCAAGTTTTGCGTTGCGCCATGCATACTTGACAATACGACCGAGGTCTCCACCGGAGCTTTTGTCCAGACTCCAAGGGTTGTGGCCTCTACACAGGACCTAAGGTGAGTGAAACATGCAGACAATGCATGTTTTTGGTATAAGCCTTACAGCCTGGCAGAACACATCGTCCCATGCTTTGTTGTCATTGTCATATCAATTGTTGGTGCATGGGCACAAGCTTCTGGATGTCCTGTCTACGTCAGTTTCCTTGCCGAGTCAGTTTCCTTTGAGGTGTCAGCGCAAAGAACTAGAGATTAGATGCATGTCAGAGGCAGGTAAGGGTAGGGTTGACATGCTCATTTGTTTCTGTGGCAGAGTTTGGCTCCTGTGCTTGCTGCTCCTCTTGTGCTGGTTGGCTGCTGATGTTGCTTGTGGATTTGATGCTGCTTGTTGCACTTGGGTCACAGCTTGCGTGTGATGTTTGTGAAGCCGCGTGTTCTGGTTTTTGCGAGAAGAAGCATGGTGCTACTTATTTCATCTACTCTAAGGTCTGGCTGCTGATCTTTTCAATACTGCAGTCTCCTAGACATATGCTTCTGGATTGTGGTTGACAGTCTGAAAGGAAAGCTGTCCAGATGGGCAACGGAGTCTGGTTGGTCAAAGAGGCATTCAGCACGGCGAGCTACTCCTCCAGTGACAAGTGCGCCAAGCGGTGCTTTCTGATTGATTCAGGATTGATAATCTTACTGATTTTGTGTTCTCTCGCCTGCAGGTATCCTCAATTGCATTCTCTGTCAGCATGGCAGGCGGCTTGGGGAGGCGCAGGAGAAAAGAGCCAAGCTTTGCTGATGACCATCAGCGTCGCCCTAAGAAAACCAAGGTTGAGCTAAAAGAGCTTGCTGACAGGCGTTTGGGACTGGTTCTCACAGAGCTTCATGGCAGAGCCTTTGCCTTTTGTCCAGTGGATGGGAAGAAGCTTGTGGGAGCCTCAAAAAAGTGTCCCCAGTGTCAAGTGAAATACTTGAACTCTTATCTCTCACAAGCAGGGCCCAGCAAGTTTGCCTGTTTGTACGACGCTCGGGACATAGCTTCCTTCTGGAGAAGAAAGATCTTTTGGCGTCTGGGGGGCACCAATCATTCTGGTGTGCTGTGGACCACACAGCCTTTTGTGCCTCTGCCTGCTTTTGAGGCCATCTTTTCGGAGGATTGGGAGCAGGCTGCAGTGAAGACAGCCACTGTAGAGACACATGTCAGAATTTTGGAAACAACAAGAGGGGTCGTTGAGTTCTGTGCATTCAATCTTGTTAACGAGAAGCGAGGCAATGCCTGCTGCAAGCTGCTGCCTACAGGTGAGGTTTTGGTGGTCGTGCCTCCAGTTGAGGTCACCCATACATATAGCATTGAAGCCTCGGGGGCAAGAGTTCACTTTGTCTACGGCTGGGTGAAGATGACAGTTGCTGGAGTGATCAGCAGAGCAGAAGACATGTTAGAGCCGGCACAGGGGTGGGATCACGTAGAGAAGTGGATTAGAGACAGCGTGTTGGACATGCAGGATCTGGAGATGGGAGTGTCACCAGAAATGGTTGAGGCTTCAAAGGCTATTCTCAGGTCTGAGTATGAAAGTGACGAGGCTGCTCGGCATGCACGGTCTGAGCGAGGTATGAGGGACGAGCACATTGTCATGCCGCGGCCGGAGCCAAGGCCGCAGGAAGAGAGGAGGCGCAGACAAGCAGCTGAAATGCATGCGGGGGGCTTGGAAGATGGTTGGCATAATCTGCCAACAGATGAAGGTGAGGGGGCTACTTGGAGCACGTACGACATTCTGTCTTTGCATGGCAATGAATTGCGTCTCCTGCATTCTGCATTGCATTGTGCCAATCTATCCGAGCCAGAAGTGCGTGCGGACCAAGAATGCAAGTACGATACATAGCTTCCACTTGCTTGTCCCCCCCTTCAGTGCACGCCCCAGAACGCGCACGTGCGGACATTCTGCACTCGTCATTAGGGGGTTTGTACTGACGGGGGGGCTGGCTGACAACCGATATGCCGACAATTGACAACATACAGCACTCTTGGCGCATGGCACTGTGGCGCGTGCATTCAGAAAGTGGATTACAATGCCACTTTCTACTCTCGTACAATTGTTTTTTGTCTCTTGTTCTCAGCTATTGTTGCTTCTCGTTTCCGAGTTGCTTCATAAAACTAACTTTTTTCCAAACTAAATCGGCCTTGCGAAAGCGGAGATTCTTCCCGCGCGGCCTCTACCCCTTCTTCCGCCGCCAGCGCCCCGCGCGCCAGTAGCGCCCGTGCCCGTGCCCGTGCCCCTGCCCGTGCCACCAGCGCCCGGCGCGCCTGTGCCTGCACGCTCACTAGCGCTTCTGCCGGTGCCCCTGCCAGCCCCCCTGCCCGCCCCCCTGCCAGCAGCGCCGGCGCCCCTTCCTCCCGTAGCCCCCGTGCCGCTTTCCCCCACTGCGCCCGGGGGATCAACTGAGGCAGGCCCCTCCAACTCGGCCTGGGAGTCGCCCGCCAGGCCTTCCAAGCCCTCCGGCGTCCGGTTCTCCGACTCGACCCTCAAGCGAGCGTTGCTCTGCTCACCCGGAGACTCCTCCGAGTCGACAGAGGCGAGTTTCTCCACCATTTCGACGTAGCCAGTGTAGACCCGGGCGATGTCCGGACCGAACTTTTCGAGTTTGCTCTCAAGCTGTGCTCTGCTCCGGCTTGGCAGCTGCCCCCTCCTCTCAGCTCACTCGATCGCCTGCTCTGCAACCTTCTCCCCGTCCCCGATGAACCGCCTCTCGTTTCTGCTCAGTGGCATTGCGACCGTTTGCTCCAAAGCTAGCCGTTCCCTCCCCTTCGCCATCACTTGCAAATTGCGCCCCTTCTGTTGCCGTTCGTCTACCAACCGCCGATTGGTGAACAACTGCATATCCGTCTTTCCCTCTTTCAGCTTGTGCTCGACAAACTGCTGTGACATGTCACTGAAGCTGACGGGGAAGCGGCGCACCATGTCAGGTACGTGCACCATCCCCAGATGCATATAGAGTGTGGCCAGGTCCGCCCCGAGCTGCGAGCTGAAGCTGTACACGTACGCCGCCGCCCTGTCTTGGACCACGATGCTTTTGGCCAGCCGTTCGCCGTCGTCGCTAGGGTTGTTGAGGGGGCGGAGGAGCTCGGCGTATAGAGCTGCGAGGTTGTCCCAGATGATCCTCGCGTCAGCCCGCTTGCTGGCGTCCGTGATGGCGATGTCGAGGAATGCGTTGTATGCAGTTGGATGCAGGAGAACGCGAGCTTCTTT